AAAGAAAAGGATGTTTTTGGTCCCCGAAACAAAAAAAAAAAAAAAAAAAAAAAAAAAAAAGAAAGAAGGAAAGAAAGAAAGAAAAAGAAAAAAGATTATGTTGTAATTAGCACTACCTGGGCAAATGGACCCAGGCACCCAGTGTAAGGTGCATGACCACAGCATCCAGACCTATACTCCTCTCCCTTCCTAAATATGCCTTTGTTCTCTCCATATACCCTTGCTACCCGACTCAGTTCCCTATTGGATCAATACTGGGTAAGCAGCTCTACTTTGAATCCTGAAGGTTGATTGTAGTGTAACTCATCCTGTAACCTCATTTTGATTCCACTGAATAAATTATTCCTGACAAAGGGTCTCAGTGGACACCCACTCAGGACCCCTCCTGGAAATCCAGGAGCTATTTTCCTTTTGTCGTTTCCAGAAAAACTGTCTTAACTACCTCCTTTCTTTTGCAGCTTCAGTCCTCTATGTTGTGAGACCACAGACTCTAAATATCTGGCATCAAATAGGTTAGGAGATATATTTCTCCTCCATCATTAGAGCCTCCTCCAAATTCCTATGTTGAAACCTTGACCAACATTGTGACCGGATCAGGAAATGGGGCCTTTGGGATGTGAACAGATGCTAAGAGCAGAGGGCTCCAAATGGGATTTGTGCCCCTACATAAGAGATCCTAGAGAGCATCTTTTGTTCTTATACCAGTCAGGTTGCAGAGAAAGCAATCCAGGAATCCAGAACTAGGTCCTCCTGCTTAGAAGACACTGAGTCTCTTAGTCTTAGATTTTCAGCTTCTAGAGCCATGAGACAAATTTCTTTTCTGACATGCCTATGGGGTCCTGTTAGAGCAGACTGAATGTACTAAAACATAAAATAAGAAGAATTAAGTACACAAAATGTGGAATTAGGGGAATTCTTGAACTAAACAAAAAGAAGCCAGTATGTGTTGACCAACTGTCTTCAAGCTAAGGTTGCATAAGACAATGGAAAGAATGAAAAGAGAGGGGGAAAATGGCATAAAAATGATCATGTAATTATTGCAGACACAGTGATATGCATTTTAAATAAAACAGTTTATCTAATCAATTCTGTCATTCAGGCAAAAATGCTATATCATTGCTTCTTGTTTTTATGTGGAAGGAGAGAAATAATTCAAGATATTTGATTTGAAAGACTACTCTCAAAACACAGCTTGGTACATAATGATACTTTGTAAAATATTGCAACATTTTAAAGGTTTCTGTAACTCTACTTACTTTCCTGAGCAGTTAAAATTCCCATCAAACACAAGGATATAAGTAACTTGCTCAGGTTCATAGAAAAGTGATGACTTTTCAATGCATGAATCTCAACTTCAGAGTAACTATATGTATTCTTTAAATTTTTTTTATTTTATGAAAAAATAAAAAATTTCTTAATACCATAGTAAGAGAGCAACAATAGTTAACCTGTCCATGGTATATTGTTATCTTTAAAGTAGCTACTTAGAATATGAGACATAAAAAGTTTCTTTAAAAAAGAAACAAATATAACACAGTCTTTCTTTTCAACAAACTAAAATAGCCTACTTGTACAAATAAAACCAAGTAACATAATATATTAAAATATTTTTAAAACAATGGAATTTGTAATTTGAGGAAGTATTTGAATTTCTTCCTCTTTCCTAGTTCTCTCTTCTATTTTGTTCTTTGTTTTTCTCACATGAAAGAATCCATGTAATATTTGAGCTTGTACTTCTGACTTATTTCTTAAATATTATGCTCTGAAGTTTCATCCATTTACCTATGAATTGCTCTTTTTTTTCTGTATGACAGAACAGTACTCTATTGTGTAAAAATATCACATTTTCCTTACGTTGATTTTGCCAAGATCAAGTTTTTATAAATTGTAGTGGTGTAAACATGGTTATGCATGTATCCCAGTAATATGATGATTTTAACTCTTTGGTAACACACCTAGTAGGGGGATAGCTGGGTCAAATGGAATTTCTACTTTTACTTTTATGAGGAATCTTCACACTGATTTTCATAATAGTTGAGGTAGTTTACCTTCCCATAAACAATGAGTAAAGATCTTTTTCCCTCACATCTTCACCAGCCTTTGTTATTATTAGATTTTTTGATGATAGCCATTCTTTCTGGAGTAAGATGGCATCTCAATGTAGTTTTAATTTACATTTCTCTGATGGTCAGCAATGACGAGCATTTCTTTATGCATTTATTTGGCCATTTGTACTTCTTCTGAGAAGTGTCTGTTCATTTCAGTTGTGCATTTTTTTATTGGATCTTTTATTTTGGGTGATTTAATTTTCTTTCAACTTATTTATATATTCTTAACATTAGTCCTCTGTTTGAGGAATACCTGGCAAAAATTTTTCCCCATTATGTGGGTTGTCTCTTAACTCTCTTGGTTGTTTGCTTTGCTATGAAGCTTTTTAATGTGATATGATTCAGTTTGTTGATTCTTGGTATTATTTCTTGTGCCAATGTGGCTCTGTTCAGAAAGTCCTTGGCCATGATTTTGTGTTCAAGAGTTGTGCTAATTTTATCTCCTGGTAGATTAAATATGTTGTAACTTTAAGTCTTTGATCCATTTTGGTTTTTAGGTTAGTACATCATGAGCTATATGAGTTTAGATTCCATCTTCTGTATGTGGACATCCCGTTTTCCCATCTTTCCTCCAGAATACGTTTTTGGCTCCTTTATCCAAAATTCAATAGCTGTAGGTGCCAGTTTTTTTTTTCCTGCTTCTTTTATTCTGTTCCATGATGCACATGCTATTTTTGTGTCAGTCTTTTGCAGTTTCAGTCATGGTAGATTTCTAATACATCTTCAAGTCTGGGATTGTGATGTGACCTGCTTTGCTTTAGTTACCCAGGATGGCTTTTGCTACTCTGGGTCTGATTTCATATAAATTTTAGAATTATTTTCTTTACCTCTGTAAGGTTATGCCATTAGTATTTTGATCAGGATTGTGTTAAACCTATATGTCAGTTTTGGAAGTACAGCCATTTTACTTATGTTAGAGCCAGCTAACCAGGAACAGGGAATGTCTTCCCATTTGCTGATATCCCCCTGATTTCCCTTTTCACTAAGAGGAAATTTTCACTATAGAGGTCTTTCACTTTCTTGGTTAGGTTAATACCTACTTTTTATGCTACTGTGAATGGTATTGCTTTCCTAATTTCTTTTCAGTTAGTTCATTATTAGTATATATGAATGCTATGTAGTTTTGAGTGTTTATTTTATATCCTGCAACACTGCTGAATTTGGTTATCAATTCTAGGAAAAAATAATGGTTGAATGCCAGAAAGTAAGTGGCAATGCCTTAATCATGTACCTGTTGTCAGGCCTGAGGACTTCTTCCATCCTTATTAAGGGACATGTTAAATTTATTTCCTTTTATACAACACTATGAATTTGATCTTGATAACCTTCCCTAGAGAGTAATATCTTCTCTGTTATATTCATAAGGCCATTGTGCAGTTTAAGGTTTCCCAAAATTGCAGCTCTCTATGCAGTGCCAACACAAGAGCCAGCAACGAGCTGGGTGATTTATATGTAATATTTAATCAAGCAAGCTTGAAGTTGTATGTAAGAGAATTTTATGAATTTTCATATGATATGTGAATGTAATACAGTTTATTAAATGCTACTAACAGCAGGATTTTTTATTAGCAGACCAAAAACTAGACTACATTGTGAGAAAGAAAGACGTTTTTCTTTTCTGCTCTGAGGACAGTGGCATAAGACATCTTCCAGTCCTTTGAGACAGCAGCCTAGGTGGAAGAGCCACAAGAGTTTGAGGCAGTTTCTTCTTGACCTAAGCAAAGCTTACGCATATGTATCTGTTCATCTCCATCTGTAATAAAATATTTTCCTACCTAGCCCATCTATAGCTTCGTGGGAAAAAATTCAGACTATGTCAGCACAGTCTGAGATGTGGCATCTGTTAGCTGAAGCTGCTGGATTTCCATGCTGTTTCTTTGCTCTGTGAGATGGCTCTCCCTCATCCAGGTTCGTCAAACTAGAGAGACTTCTCCGTTTTCGGAGAGCTGAAAGATTCAAATGCTGAGATGATTCAGAGTTAACAGGGGTTCTATGCCCAGAAACATTTTATGAAAATAAGCTTGTGTGAATCAGTAGTCTGTACATTAGATTCTACAGAAATAACCAAACTGTTTTTCACAATAGAAATTCCTGAGATTCTATTTCAACATTCTGATGAGAAATAATTATAAATTTGACGGTTTACATCGGAAAAAACATTTATTTTATTCACTTTCAATCGTAAGGACCCATAGAAATCTTGGCAGCATTGCCTCAATTTATCTTTTAGCATAGTCAGCAACCAACATATTTCTTGAAACAATGACTTTTGTTAGGCAAAGCTTCTCAAATCTTACTTTTCCCTGCCTCAAACCTCTATTAGGTTGCTGAAATTAGGTAACTTAACCAGGATTTCAAACCAGCCACTAATATCATAACTTGCCATTTTGCTAATTGATTTGATTGCCACCAAGCTCTGAACAAAACAAAAGGGTACTTAGTATTAATAAATGCCAATTACGTGCCAGATTCATTTTCATGCATTCACATACATGCCTGCTCATTCAATTTTATAACAGTAAGAAATACATTATTTTCACCATCGCATAAATGAAAAATTTGTATTTATAAAGATGAGAGATTTTCCTATGTTTAAATAATTAGCAAGAGTAAAATAAGGAATTCTATTCAGGTCAGTTGGATTTCAAAGTCCATTTTCATTCTATTAAGCCAGATTGCCTTGGTTATTTTTATAGCAAGACAAATATTCAGGACTACTTTTAAATTAGTTTGAAAGTCATCTTAAAGCTTGTGTACACTTACTATTGCCAAAGACTTTCTATCTTTGTGTAAAAAGGATGTAAAAATGCATATAAATTATCTTGCACTCAATAAGAGCTCGTGCCTCCCCCACTTTTCCTCTAGCATCTGTGATATAGTTTATGATAGATGTTTGGAAGGTCGGATGACAGATGGGGGCCAACATGTCTAGTTTCAGATTACAAGTTTAAAATTGGAGATTAAAATCATGTACCTCAAGAGTAAGGAATGGAAATCTTCAAGTCTGGGAGATGCTCTGATTCTCATCAAGATTCAATTTAGAAAAAAAAAAATTCTTTCCATTTTAATTAGCACCTCTTTGAGATAGAAATACCACTGCACCATTCATCTAAATGAAAAGTGGAAGATGCTTTTCATGATAATAATGAGATGATTTCTTGGCCATCAACATGGCCTCCAAGAGCCATCTGTTTTCAGAGTCAGTGAGCAGTATGGATTTATGAACTACTCCCAAAAAACTGTGTGACAGGGAAGGGCAAATCCAGCTGCTGCTTATTTTCATCAAACATCTTGATCTGTTCTTCAAACATTGCAAATTTGATGAAACCCAAACACAGTTCGTCAAACACTTTTCTTCTCTAATTGGGAAAATGATTTGAATGTTAAGATAAATTGCAAAAGATGGTTCTGATTCATTTGTATTTACATAAAGTCACCAGTGTTATAGATCTTATCCATGCCCCAGATTCTCAAGGTCTGCTAAAACAAACAAACAAGAACATGAACACATTTTCGTATACTAACACAAACATGCAAATATATATACATATATATTTTTTTCTAATTTATCCAAAATTGTGCAGAAGTTTGAACTTTGGTAAACTGTGTGGTTTTTTTCCCCTTAATAAATGCATTCATTTCAAATGCTGTTGAATGAATACTACCATGATTGCTAATAATTATGCTTAAAATTTATTCAGCATTTTAAAAATCCTTTAAGTACTTTCTCAAACATTGCTGTTTAATAGAACTAAAAGGATTAAATTGAAAGCTATCTGTAGATGACAAAATCCAACTCGTTCATTTAAAAAAAATTCTATTGAGACATAATTTGAATACAAAAAAATGTAACTATGTAATCAATGAGTTTTAGCAAATATATAGTGTGTAATTGCCACAATCATCACATAATACATTTCCATCACTATGAAAGTCTCTATTTATTTTTCCTAGTCAATCTTATTTATTCCTGGTCTAGTCGATCCTTGATCTTTTTTCACTTTAGTTTGGTCTTTTCTAGAGTTTCATACAAATGGTGTCCTGTAGAATTTTATTTTGTATTTAACCTCCTTCATCTGTCATAATATTTTTGAGATTCAGCCATGCTCTTGTCTATATTCCAAACTCATTAAAATGTAATATTGTGTAGTGTTCTATTGCATGGATATTCCACTGTTTGTTTACTTATTTTCTTGTTATTGGGTATTTTTCCTCCTTTTGGTGTATGTTGGATGGAGTTGGTAAATTGTTTCTATATATACAATGTATGGTTTCAGTTCTAAGACTTCGAGTAAGTCACTCAGTGTCCTTGAGCCTCGGTCTCATTGCTTTTATTCTGCATTTCAACCTTTCTGCAGAAGCAGGAGGATTCATAATCAGGGGCAAAATATTGACCCAAACACTAAATTAAAAATTAAGCAAAACATATTTGTATGTGTATATTAAAAATGTGGTAAATGCCGTGAAGAATTCACACAGAGTTCTGCAGTTCTACTCTTGTGTGGATGATTGGGGGCAATGTAGAAGTGGAGAGCTAATAATCTGAAGAGTTACTCTCAGAATATCACAAAGACGGCGTGGCCGATGTGAAAGTTCTAAAAGGCTAGGGTCGAATAAATGATTTGAGATGAGGCTAAATTAAGACAAAATGCCATCCTTTTTTTTTCTTGCTTCTGTTTGTTTCTTCCTTTTCTACCTCTTTCTCTGCCCTTCCCCCTTGCTGTCTTTCTTCCTTGGAATATTTCTGCATATTGTTTTATGGATAGCTTCTAGTCACTCAGTTATTAGCAGAGCCATGGATAGATCACCACTCTCATAGTTTTGAAGTATACAATGAATCTATATTAATTTTTCTGTTATTAAAATACACAGGAATCACATGTATATTTTTGTGTTTGTTTCTCTTGAGTAAAGTGATGTTTTTGAGACTCAGCTACATAGTGTGTTTCTTTTTATTGCAGAGTAGTAGCCTATTGATAGAAAATACTTGTTTTCATTATTGTTGAGAATTTTGACTATTTCTACTTTTTAAAAAGAGCATTATAACAATGATCACACTCATTTACATATGTTGGACAAATGCATTCAACCCAGGCAGTTAAATCTCTCAACCATAGTATAAAAATTGCATTAAATTCACCATATATGGACAGATTTCCGAATTATTTTTTACACTGTCAAAAGAAATGTGTAAGACTCTGTGTTCTTGACAGAACTGTTAAACTTTGACATCTTTACCTGCCTACTTTTTTTCCTGTTTTAACATTTTTAGCAATACTGCTTTTACAAATTTTTGTTTGTTTGTATTTATTATCTTTGTCATTTTCTGTAGAGATTATAAAATTTAATCTTCAGGGTCTCACAGTAAAATATAACTTTATCATGTACTAAGACACTTAAACAGTATTACTCCACTTACCTTCTCCTGTCCTGCATGCGGCCATTTCTTTTGTATAATTCTTGCTTTGACCTTATGTTAATTTTTGTGTTACTACTGTTTTCTTTTAAGACAAAATAAGGAAAATAGGTAATTTTTTGTATTTACCTACACATTTAAAATGTCTGCTTTTTACTGTCTCTGCCTATAGAAATTCCAAGTTATAATTAATATGATTCAGACACTTTGTTGAAAGGTCTCTGAATGACGCATCACTCTAGGGAATTTATTCCATAAATAGGTTTCTTTCTCTCCCTCTCTTCCTCCCCCTCTCCCCCTCTCCCTTTCCCCCTCTTTCAGACAAGATCTTATTCTATGAGCCAAGCTGGCCTCAAATTGCCAATTCTCCTGCCCCATCCTTCTGAGTGCTGGGATTATAAGCACATGAAGAAATCTTTCAATTACTTGAGTTCAATTACTTTGAGTTACTTGGGTTGGTTGGAGGGAAGAAAAAAATTGATTCAAAGATTTCTTCAAAGTACATTCATTTTTGTTGTTGTTGCTAGTAGGATGGAAAAAATGGGTGAAGTAAGATGAAAATAACAGAATAATAATATAACTAATGGGATGGAGAAAATGGGTAAAGAAAGATGAAAATAAGAGAATAATAATACATTGCTCAAAAGTTTCTGTGAAACATGAGAATTGTGTTTTCATATATGAAGGCACTGAATTTGGTATCAACAATGGTTTGTGGGGTACCTGTATATTTACCTCCATAAGCAGTAGCAAGGAAACATCCATTCTTTTTGCACTCCAGGCTAATATCAAAGGAACCTGCTAAATGAGAAGAATTAATTACATTCCAGAGTCTGATAACATAATACCCCCCAAATGAGTATTTTATAAAAAATCATTAATCATTAC